TAAACTGCAGGAATGTCTTAAAGACATAAAGACCTGGATGGCCGCTAACTTTCTGCTTCTTAATTCAGATAAAACTGAGGTTATTGTACTCGGTCCTGAAAAGCCTAGAAATATGGTATCTAAGCAGATTCTTACTCTGGATGGCATTACCTCGGCCTCCAGTAACGCTGTGAGGAACCTTGGAGTCATTTTTGACCAGGACATGTCCTTCAATGCACATATTGAACAAATATGTAAGACTGCGTTCTTCCATTTGTGCAACATCTCTAAAATTAGAAATATTGTCATGGCTACTGGACGGACTCACGCGCAGACAGTTCTTTCTTTGAGAACAAAAGGAGATTATTTATTTACAACAGGGATCACCTCAGTGCTATATATATGTACAGTGAGTTGGGAGGGGGGTCCAGGGCTCCAGGGAGAGAAGGGGGGGAGGGAAATCCACACACACTTCCTCTTCCACTCAGCCACTGCCACAGCTCCTCCGCACACACGCACTCCTCTTCAGCCGCACTCGCTCCGAAACTCCACACATGCTGCCACACCCGAGCAGGTCCTGTGATTTGGTCCAGAAGATGGATAACTACACACAGAATTCAACGTTAGTTCCACAGCAAAATACACACAGGGGATTCTTTTGATAATGCCGAGAGCATGAACTCAGGAGGTTCAACGTTCCAGCAGTGAGCTGCTCTGTGCCACTGCCTTAAATAGCAGCTGGGGAAATCAGCCAGATCAGCAGCAGGTGGAGACAATCACACAGGTGCATGGGCCAAGAGTGAGAGCCTGTAACGAGCTCCACCCAGGCAGAGAGGAGGAGGAGAGACAAAGAAAACAAAAACAAAAAAGAAGAACAACAACAAAACCTGTAGCCAGCGTGAGCCAGCCAGAGAGACACGGGGACCGTGACAAATATCCTGTCTCAGAGTGATGCTGAAAAACTAGTTCATGCATTTATTTTTTCTAGGCTGGACTACTGTAATTCATTATTATCAGGATGTCCTAAGAACTCCCCCAAAAGCCTTCAGTTAATATAAAATGCTGCATGCTCTTATCCAAAGTATGTCTTTTGTCCTGTGTGAAAGGCTTGGAGCCACACATAGCGTTTCACAACTGTTTATTTGTTTCTTTTATTTGTTATGGCACACACAATGCTTCCAGGTCAGCATCTTTGCTTTCTCCATGGCCAGCTGTCCAGTTGGCTCCATCCTCCAATGTCCCCAGCATCACTAAAGAAGGAACAGAGTTCATATGTGTGATTCCTTCTACCTGGCCCTCAGCCTCACTGGCACTGCCCCACTACACTACCACTCCACTGCAGCAGAGCCAAAGATCACACCCCTGCCACACACCCCCACCGCCCGACTGAGACCAGGAACGGGACAAAAAAATCGGCCACGGCCATCTGTTATGGCCTATGGATCATCTGAATTTAAAGGGCTGTAAAGCCAGATACCACCGGGTGATCCGGGCTTTGGTATCTTTCATGCTTTGGAGCCATTGCAGTGGCACGTGGTCCGTGGTCAGAGAGTAAATGAGCATCCAAGGAGGTAATAACGAAGAGAGCTGACTGCCCACAGATAGCCAGGCACTCCTTGTCGACCATACTGTACCTTCTTTCCCAGTCTGTCAGTTTCCAGCTGATGTAGAGAATGGGCTGGTCGATACCCCTTACCTGCTGGGAGAAAACGTCCCCCTGCCCTGTGTTTGAGGCGTCCGTCTGAAGGATGAATGGGAGGGGAAAGTTAGGTGTGTGGAACAGTGGCTCCCCACAGAGAGCCTTTTTCACCTGCACATTTGCCACTCTGTCCACTGGACCAGATCTGGGGTGTCCTTTCAGGTGAGATCGGTCAAGGGCCTGATTGGGTCCGAAAACCGGAGAAGAACCAGAGATAGTAACCAGCCAACCCCAGAAACGTCTCACCTCCTTTTTAGTCTTTGGGAGTAGGCAGGATGCAGTAGCTGCTGTTTTCTACATCTGTGGACACACCTGTCCGTCTCTCAAGTGGCACCCCAGATACTGTACCTCCCTCCATCCAACTGCACACTTCTTTGGGTTGGCCTCATGGATTTTAGAACCGTGGCCACCCGCTGCACATGCTCTGCCCAGGTGTCACTGTGGATGATCACGTCATCCAGGTAGGTGGCCACATATGCAGCGTGTGGCTGCAGCACCTCATGAGGCGCTGGAAAGTGGCTGGGGCTCCGAACAAGCCGAAGTGTGACAAATGGTCACACTTCAACCCGTACGAAGTGGAGAAGGCTGTCTTTTCCTTGGACTCTGCAGACAAGTGAATCTGCCAGTAACCATTGGTTAAATCCAGTGCAGTGAAAAATTAAGCTGTGCCTAACCAGTCCAGGAGCTCGTCCATCTGGAGCATGGGGTAGGCATAAAATCGTGACACTTCATTTAACTTGAGGTAGTCGACACAGAACCATTTAGACCCATCTTTCTTCATAACTAAAACTATGGGGCTACAGCAAGCACTGTGCAACTCTTCTATAACTCCCATTTTCAGCATTTCAGTCAATTCTTTCTGAACAATTTGTCACCTCAGGGCCCTGGGGAAGAAGAGTGAAGGTAAATGGATTAGTGTACGCTCTGCAGAGGCAGGCCCAGGAGGCTTCCTCCTCAGTGCTGGCACAGGTGGTGGTTACGGCTCACCACTCCCTCTGGCCAGGCAGCCAGGTGATCCTTCACAAGTGTAACCGTGGCTTCCAAGCTCACCGGTCTGTGGCAATGGAGCAAGCGCGCTGTTTCCCTGGGCAGGCCATCCACAAACTGTTCTCGGACCACCATTGCCAGCACGCATCCGTTCCCCTCCAGTGTGATTACTTCACCTCCCTGGCACCATCCCTTCACTGCAGCGAAGCCAGAGACCACACCCCTGCGACATCCTGTCTTCCTTCTCTCACCCTAACCGGTCGCGGCAGTTGGCCGCCCCTCCCTGAGCCTGGATCTGCTGGAGGTTTTTCCCGGTCAAAAGGGCGTTTTTCCTTCCCACTGTCACCAAAGTGCTTGCTCATAGGGGGTCATATGATTGTTGGGTTTTTCTCTGTCTATCTCTTATGTAGGCTCTACCTTACAATACGCCTTGATGCAACTGTTGTTGTGATTTGGCGCTGTATAAATTAAACCCCATTTAATTATCCAATCCTCTTATGTTCACATTAGTGGAAAAATACAGGCACTTTGTTGGTAGCAAATATTCAACCCAACACAAAAAAAACACAACCAAACCACACAATGATTCCTCACAAAATATTTAATAACAGAATAAAAAACCGGTTAAATACAAGCACTGTCGAATAATATGAAGCACTTCTTCCTTCACTATTCTATAATGTAACAATATGTAAATCCTACATGTCAGAGTTTACCTGCATCTTCATAATGAATACATCCATCTGAGGAAAGTTTGCATAACATATATTCTACCCTCTCTGTTGCTGAAAGACCAGCTGTGCTCAAGAGATGCAAGTCATTGGACATGTTGCATAAATTATTAATAAATGCATACAGTTGGATTATGGGATTTGAGACAGGCATTGCATAGGCTTTTCTAAAGGGATACATGCATACATATCATAGGACTGAGTAGAACAGTGCAGCAAGGAGCAATGCCACACAAGTTATTCTTGATTCAGCATACAATGCAACACACGATAGAAACACGTATGCGTTGTGTTACTATGTAACTCGTATACTGTATGCGTGGTGCCAAATACAGCCAATCCAATTTTTAAGGCTTTGTAACTGGATGCCTTTACTTTTATGTGGTACATATTTTCTTAATTTTTTGTAAAGCTGCTACATGAAGCAAATATATTGTTGATCACTCAAATAAGTGACAGAAGAAAAAAAAACAAATAAAAAACTCTGTCCATTGCTTTTGTTTAATCACCACTGATAAACCAGTGTGAACCACAGTGAAAGTTCAAACTTGACATTGTCAGGGGTGACACTGGGTTCATAGCATACCAGAAAAAGTAGGCCTTTGTGGCATGTGGCCCACATTTTTTTTTTTCAGGTTTCATAACCAAAAATATGTTATAAACACTAGATGACTCTGTACACACGGCGAGCCTCATATTGTAACCAGGTTCTTGTTGTAACCTTGATATGATAGTACATAAAGTAACAAATCACGAACTGAGATCAAGACTTTTCTATTGAAGTCAGAGGGGTATACAGTTTTACTGTTTAGTCAGGTTTCACCATTTATTTTTTAGAAATGTCAAATATGTTCAAAGTTGGACTAGAATGTACACTTTACACACTTCAGCAGTGCTTGCCACTTGATAAATGTAAATAAATTCTGAGAAATTACATAAAAATCTAAATCAGGAGAGAAGTGATTTCCAGCTCGATACATCATTAAACATAAACACTTGGCTGGCAACAGGAATACCCATCCACCCTTTGGCACATTTTACTCTATTCTGACATCATCAGTGCACTGAGCTATAGACTCTTTTGTTCTTTATTACAAGCAACGCCCACTTCTTTGATCGACTGCAATGGCCTGCTCCCTCTCATTCGCAGTTATTTCAGATGCTGTCCTAAGAAACAGATAAGACAAATGGAACTAGATAAGCATAGCATGACCTGGAGACTTTTTAAGACAGTATTAAAGAGTCCATGTTCCTCCCCAGAAGTCAGAATGCAAGGGCGGTCTAATCCAAACTACTGTATTTACTCCAACAGTGACCACATTTAGCTATTCTGCTTTTATGACAAATTAAGGGAATGCATTACTGTGAAAAGTGGCCATGACAGGTATCAGAGAGTCACCAGGAGATTCTCCTTTACTCTTTATGTAGATGAGCAGAGCATCAGCATGATGATCAACACAGGAACTGTAGTCAGCTGCACTGATGATGTCACAACTTCAAAACACAAGCAAACAGTAAGCATATTGAAACGGAAAAATAAAACCCAGACTGTCTGCAAATATAATAAAAATGTTCTAAGTGACGATAAAAGTCCTGGAGCTTCAGTGGACAAACCTCGAATTTGTTTACAGGGCTTTTTTTTTGTTAACTATAATGGCTCTACTTTGAGCCTTTAATATTCCTGTTGACTCAACCTTTGGCAACCATCAGAAATAAAGCTTTTAAATTGCGACAAGGGTTTATTTGAGGAAATATGGTAAGATATTTGTCATTTAAAATGTATAAATGCCAAAGTACCGTGTCTAGCATTGCTGCTATAGTCTTTGGTTTCAGCCTTCTTGTTCAACAATTCTATGTATGAACTGTGACTTTGGCTTATCATGTTTTAATTTCTAAATCTCTCTTTGGTGGATTTAAATGGTCAAACTAAAACAATTCCAGTCAGCTGATAATCAGTCTCCAATCAAACAAGCACTGATCCACGTCTCCTCAAATTTTCAAAGTAAGAAAATTAGATTTATGTGAGTCTGGTAAAAATGATACTAAATGAAAATAAATAAATAAAAGAATCGAACGAATCTAAAAGTCCCAAGCTCAAACTCAAAAGCATGTCAGGGCTTGTATTTTATAGATGTTAAGCTTTCTCCTGTCTTCATAGACACTTCACATCTGTAAATGATAAGATTAAGAATGACTGATGTGCCAATTAATACTTCTAATGGTGATGGGCAGTTTTACACATGGTTAAGAGATCATGGTTTCATATAGTGAAAAAACCTTAGAAGACATTTAACCATGCAGTGCAGAATGCAAAATGTTGTTTGCATACACACGATGCTCTAGGTTGCACTATTCTTTTAGACTAGATCTGTCACAGAGAGATATGCACTGCAGACTTTAGACTGATCTGAAGTTTGGGTAGACCAGCTCTGTGGTTCTAGTACAGTTACATATGATCTTCAATCACAGGGGAATGCCGGGTCTTAGGTAATCAAGTCAACATTTCCTACATAATCCACAGCCCATCATAGAGTTTTCTGTTGTCAGGAAATCTCCTATGTGGGTGGAGGTCCTTCGTAGCGGAGCATGATGTTGAAGGATCGGGCAAAGTTGTTAGAGAGAGAGCAGCTATTGCCTTCATCCATGAGGGGCAGCAAGAAGGCCAGGAGCAGCAGAGCGAGGAAGAGGAGCCACAGAGGAAGAGCCAACCGACAAACCCGCTGCAGCAGTCCAGGTTTCTGCTGATGAAGAAGTAATACAGGGTTACTGGAACACATAGTTAATCAAACAAATGAATCCCCATTGACACATGTTAAAATGACCAACTATACAGCACTAAAAAGTGTGCTTGCTGCCCAGCACAAATAATGCTTCTGGCCTATTCTTAATTAATCCATTTGAAACTCTCACAGCTTAAAGTTGGGTTACTTTGACTGAAAAAAGCAGTTGTAGCTAGTTGCTAATAGCAATGTCCCATGCAATTGCATTGCTGGTGCCTCTGTAATGGAGCAATAGCATGTCCAAGTCTACCCGTAAATTTTGGTTAAATTCTAATATTTCTTCTTTTTAACTTTTAACTGCAGCACATTTGCAGTTCATGAATACTGCTTGCTAACCAAGCTACCCAAGGCTGCTAGCAATACTTGATAACAACACTGCACCATCAGTCATCATGCCTGGTTAAAAAAACAAAAACAAAAAACAATATAAAAAAAAGTCGATATCAGAGCAATCAAAACCATGCTTTATTCATCTCTACAGTGTTTTTATTAGCATCTGACAACAATGATATGGTTCTGTGATCATTCATCAGCTCTTAAAAAGAGAAAACCTGTTCAACAAGGAAATCTGCACCATTGCAAGCAGAAAGCAGAAGACAGCTCAGTCACACAGTCAGAAACATCACATACCAGAGCAAAATGACTCAGCTCAGGCCTCTGCCTCTTTTTTCTCAGACTTGTTATTCTGTGAATCATGTTTACCGCCTACATCCATCTTTCACCTTCTGAATACTGTATCACCAGCCTCACTGGTGGCAATGTGAAAACAACAAAACTGAGGTCTACACAGTGTAATACCAGGAAAAAGGCAGAAAAATATTTAAGATGCTTTGTATTGGTGTGTAGTACAAATCAAACTTCCCAAAATACACCATTGTTGTACTTCCTCACGTCAGATCTCTGTGTACTTTACAAATAACAATACATACAGATGGCTGAGGGACAAATTGATAGAAAACGCATTAATGAACTGGAATGAAGTCTTTGATAATGATGATGATTATGAGAATATGCACAATGCCTAATGAGCCACAATGGTTTTGTGTCGGGCATCATTGTGTTGTGTTTAGATTCACATTTTATGGTTTTTACTCAATGAAATATTTGTCAATAGAAAAATAGTGTATAGATTATGGTCACTAGTTACCATTTTTCAACTTTCTGGAAAAAAACCAACCCTCAAATAACAGCAGCTCCTTCAGGACAATAACTGCAACTGAGTAAATGTAATAGCACTGCAGCTGTCTGAAAGGCTTTTCCAATATGTGGCTATTACTGTTAAAAAAGATATTTGGACGTTTCTTTGGTCCACTCTTCTTTACAATGTTGTAGCACTCCACCAACCAGGACTGTATTGTTGCCAGTACTAAGCCACTCCCCAGTAAAAGACATATGACAGCCTATTTGTCAGAAGGACTCTCAAAGCACGAGAAACAAAATTCTCTGGTCTGATGAAACAAACATTGAACTCTTTGGCCTGAATGCCAAGCCCTCACCAACTCTAAAGAGCAGACCCCCTCCAACCCCCGACAGGGGCCTCAAACTTGCACAGGAGCTCAACAGCTTCTTTGCTTGATTTGAGACCACCCAACCCCCACTCCCCTTGCCCCCCGTCTCCCCCTTCTCCCTCCAGAAGCATGAGGTCAGGAGGTGACTGAGAGCAGTGAACCCTAGGAGAGCTGCTGGCCCTGACAGCATTCGAGGAGCTGTGGTTAAAGCCTGCACGGACCAACCGGCAGGGGTCCTCACCAGGCTGTTCTACTTCTCCCTGACTCATGCTCGGGGCTGCGGTCTCAGACTCCTACTGTATGCCCTGTACACATATGACTGTACACCAACCCACCCAACCAATGTCATATCAACAAATATGCCGGTGACCACTGTGGTTGGGCTCATCTCTCATGGAGATGAGAGAGGGTACGGAGCAGATGAAGAGACCCTGTCCTGCTGGTGCTCAGAAAATAACCTGAAGCTGAATGTCCTCAACACAAAAGAACTCACAATGGACTTCAGGAGGTAAAAACAGGTCCACTCCACTCTCATTATAAATGGAAAACGAGTGGAATTTGTCTCCACCATCAGGTTTCTGGGCACCCACAACTCCACCAATCTCACCTGGACCCACAACAACAATGACCTGGTAAAAAAGGCCCAGCAGCAGCTGCACTTCCTCCATGTCACGATGAAGAATAACCTAGACCAGAAGCTGCTGCTGGCCTTCTATCGATCCTCAGTAGAGAGCGTTTTCTCCTAATTTCTGGGTGTTTGGTATGCAGAGGCCATAACTAACAACACAAAGGCTGTGTAGAGGGTAATTAACAGTGTCAGATGAATAAAGGTGGTCATTTATATTGCCACATATGCTGTTTTTTCATGTATATTTTAGTGAATATCCTTGCAAAATATAAACAAAAGTGGGTTACTCAAAAGCTTTGCACAGTACTCTCAATACAGTATATTCTAACAATGGCATTTCTGATTTCTATGACCTCTAAGCCAAAAATAAAAACATCCCTGAAATATTTCATATATTCACAACATTTTTTGAAATGATTTATGTTAGAAAAACAAACAAAAACAAACTAAATTCAAAATCAACAAAGTTAACTTTTTGTGACCAAGTAATATATCACATGATGCGCTCACCTGAACTGTTTTTTATACCCCAGCCTTAACAGTTACTTGATTTCAGCACAAAAATGTTGTTTTCTTGATTTAGTAACAAATCTTCATAATCACATTTTTCATTTTAATCAGTTGTTAAATCTATTTAGAACAATTTACATGTACAAGCTGGAGTAGGTAGTAGGGGTGCAACGATACACAAAATTCACGGTTCGGTTCGATACTTTGGTGTCACAGTTCGATATTTTTTCGATACAAAAAAATGTTCATGCCTTTTTAATTTGTCATTTATTAAAATTATAAATATATATTTTAACTCAAAAGTACAGTTTTTAAATTTAACCCTAACCCT